AATAAATGTCAGTAAAAAATACCGAGTTGCATGTATTTCCACATTGTGTGGCTCCTTATTTAATTGCCATTTTACTCACAATATTGTGAATATGCACTTTGAGGAGCTGAAGTAATATTAAAAAAATCAAATAGCCTCTTAGTGTATGGCTTTTCCATAATATATGCATGAGTTTCCTTATCTTATGGGATATGTCTGTATTTGTACATATCATATATAATTGCATTCAGTTCTACATGAATAGACTTTACAAAGAACAATTCCCAGCTTCTATCTTCTGTACTTCTCATTGTCAAGAAGCTCCTTCAGACAGTTGGAGGACTTGAAGAAAGATCTGTATTGTGTGCCTTAGAGTGTTTACATTATGATTGACAAGAAGAAATCATGGACTTCTTTGTTGGAGGACATAATAGGATGGCGTTTGGGTAGTGTTGAATAATAGCATACTGAAATGGAAGCTGTAATACAATGAATCACATATAGTTTCTGGCCATCATTTTAGCTGGAACCATTTGAAGATTTTCACCCAAAGAATTACTCATGTTATAAAAACTCAGGATAAGAGTCAGGGTAAGTTAAAAATTATCAGCATAAGGATAAGAATCAAGATCGGACAAGAGTGCAAGTTCATTCTAGATCAACTCAGGGTCTCATCTGCCCCAGAAAAATCTTGGCTTCTATGGGTCTTCCCTGCCTATAAGCAACCCCTCTACCAGTGGTGAGATGCTGCTGGTTTAACAACCGGTTTGGTGAGTGTGCACTTTGTGTGGGCATATTTTGCACGCATGCGCACCTAAGGCGTTTGCACGCAGCACTGAAAATGGAACATTTAGAAGCTCAGCTGCTTACCTTCCAAGTCAGCAACAGTAAGTAGAACAGCGAGGGGGCAAAAATCAGCTGTGCCGTGCGATTGAGGTGAGCTACAAAGCAGGAAATAAAGGATAGGATAGAGCAGGGGAGGGTGGGTGGGGCCAACTGATCATTGGAGCTACTGGTTCGCTTGAACCAGTCCAAACCAGCTGAATACTGAAAACTGTCTACTGTGGACCTTTCATGTTTCTTAAGAGGTCCCTAAGGGGGCATCTATAAGCGCACCAGCATGCCTATCGTCCCTGTCCTACTGTCTCCATTTATATGTAATCATTCTATGTGTTGTTTTTTTTTAATTTGATTTATATGCCGCCGTTCTCCGGAGACTCAGGGCAATGTGTTAAGCAATAGCCTTACAATGTGTTAAGCAATAGCCTTCATACTTTTGTATATATTTATACAAAGTCAGCTTATTGCCCCCACAATCTGGGTCCTCATTTTACCTACCTTTGAAAGGATGGAAGGCTGAGTCAACCTTGAGCCTGGTGAGATTTGAACTTGCAGTAATTGCAGGCAGCTGGTGTTAATAACAGTGCTTTAGTCTGCTGCACCACCAGGGCTCTTTATATCCTTTTATTTGTGCCAAAAAAATTTTTCATGTGTCCATGTCTATGTCTATACTATTACTTGTTTCCTTGTACTTGTTGACAAATAAATGCATACATACATACATACATACATACATACCTCCTCTGCCCTCTACCATTCAGTTCTTTTTGAAGGATGAGGTTTCAACTACTTTGGATTTTACTTCCCTGTTTTGGATAATAGGTTGACCTCCTCTTCGTCAAATATTGGAAGACTGCTATCACGTCACCCCTAGTCTTTCTTTTTATTAAATAAAACATGCCCATTTCCTGCAACCATTCTTTATATGTTTTAGCCTCCGGTCCCCTAATCATCTCTGTTGCTCTTCTCTGCACTTTTTTTAGAGACTGAAGATCATCTCAATAATCTCAGTTTCACAATCCATTTGACTGCTCATTCATTTACAGATGAGACGCAACTGTTTTAAACCCCTTTTCAGGATGCATCTACCATCAGAGCACCAGAGTTAGTTGGTCTCTGAATGTTCGTTCTTCCCAATTCTTTTCTCTAATTTCTCCCCCCCCCCCACATGGCCAACTCCACATGAGCCAAATAAATAGATTTTGGGAGCTGTTCCTTCCAAGTTTCCATAATTAGTTTTGGCTGCACAGTGGAGCAACAAAATGCAGTTTTCACTTATCAAAAGTCACCCTGTACATTACTGAGTTGGCTTATATGCCTTTGCACAGCAGACAGACAATTACATCTACAGCTGTGAAAGTGGTGTTTTTTTTCCACTTCAAAAAAAGAGATGGAGGGGGGGAAAGTTTAACTTGTGTTATTTCTACAAACCAGACAATGTCAGTATCATTAGTTCTATTGTGGATTTTCTCTTTATTTAAAGTCAGTATTTTCTCAAGATCTTCAGTCCTCTTGTATGGACATTCCTGTCCAGGGCCAAGAGATAGAATGGGAATTTTAGAAAATGGACACTTTACCAAACAGGCTGCTAGTTACAAACATATCCCAACAGGCAAATTGGTGAGGTGGTTACTTATCAACCGTTTCAAAATTGTGCCCTTCCAAATGTTCTTTATAGTATCTGTTTATTTCACACATTTTTCTGGATGAATAGGCATTCCATCACTCAACCCCCAAAATCATTCCTATATATCTATTATCTATCTGCAATCTTCCTTCCTTCCTCCTTCTCCTTCTCCTTTTATTTTTATTTATTTATTTATTTCATCAAGCATGTATTTTATGACAGATACAAATGTAAACATAATTATAAATACATGAAAAGGATACAAATAAAAGAAAACATTAGGACAAAGACAGTAGGCACACTGGTGCGCTTATGCACACCCCTTACAGACCTCTTAGGAATGGGGCGAGGTCTACAGTAGACAGTCTAAGGTTAAAGTTTTGGGGACTTGGGGAAGAAACCACAGAGTCAGGTAGTGCATTCTAGTGGATCAGTTTACCATGAGTTTGTATCTATTGTGTGCTCTTGTATTGTTTTGGTTGAAGCTGAAGTATTCATTGGCTGGTAGGACATTGTAGCAGATGATTTTATGTACTATACTTAGGTCAGACAGAAGACGGCAAAGTTCTAAGTTGTCTAAACCCAAAATTTCAAGTCTGGTGGCATAAGGTATTCTGTTGCAAGCAGAGGAGTGGAGGACTCTTCTTGTGAAATATCTCTGGACTTGTTCAATTGTATTAATGTCTGATATGCAGTGCGGGTTCCAGACAGATGAGCTGTATTCAAGAATTGGTCTGGCAATTCTTCCTTCTCCTTCTCCTTCTCCTTCTCCTTCTCCTTCTCCTTCTCCTTCTCCTTCTCCTTCACCTCTTTCTCCCTCCTATGCTGTGGGATTCTATATAGAGACTAGAAACATTTTTGGATTTCAATATAAGCCCTGAGCTTAATATGCTAGATTGCAGTAATGGTGGTGTTGATGATGATGATGATAACAACGATGACGATGATGATGATAGAGTATGAAAGAGATATTGCTGGAAACATTGGTGTCTGCAGGAACTACAGTAGAACTCTATAGACAATAGAAATGTGTTTGCATTTTTTAAGCATTTCAAGGTGTTCATATTGACATATAATGTCCTGTAAAGCCAACAACTTGAATATCAGATGCTATGTTACTGGTATATCCTCTCAGTCTTCAAGACTGGTGGGATGCCCTCTTGAAAGTAGCCATATATATATAAAACAACACATTAAATTGATTAATGGCATATAAAAGCAGAAATCTCTGTAATGGTAGATTAATACTCTTGATGATGTCAGCAGATGGCTGACGAAAGCTTAGTAAAATAAAATTTTAATTATTTTAAAATTTTAAAATCTTAAGTTCCGGAGTTTGCAGTATGTCTGCTTCTTTTTTTTACTAATATACCTGGAACTCGTATTTTTAGAATAGTTTGTAATATACAGTGTGTATGTATGCATATATATGTATATATACATGAGATGAGGGTGTGGCTAACTGATGAGGCCTTATAAGGCCGAAATAGATCTATCTTAGTCTCCCAATGGGCAGCAAAGGGTCTGCCGGCTGCCAGAAGAAGAAAAAGCCCAGAAACTAGTGAATTGTGATTTCACTGAACTAGGGCTGATAATATCTTGGTTTACGTAGGTAGAACCTGGCTAAAGAGAAATACACATAAAACCTACGAAAAAGAAAGAAAAACAAATATTGTACCTTTACAGGGAGGATATATGAGATGAGGGTGAGGCTAACTGATGAGGCCTTATAAGGCCAAAATAGATCTATCATAGTCTCCCAAAGGGCAGCAAAGGGTCTGCCAGCTACCAGAAAAAAAAAAAAAAAAGCCAGAAACTAGTGAATTGTGATTTTCACTGAACTAGGGCTGCATAATATCTTGGTTTACGTAGGTAGAACTTGGCTAAAGAGAAATACACATAAAACCTACGGAAAAGAAAGAAAAACAAATATGAGTGTGTGTGTGTGTGTGTGTGTGTGTGTGTATGTATATATATATTCACCATTTAGTAACCCATAAGAATGTTTTTGATACAGGCCTCTGGACGACGAAATTCCCTCTGATCAAGTTATGGCTAACATGCTTCCACTGCCAGCTGAGAATTTATTTATTCACCCAGCATTTTAATTGAATCTACACTGCTGTGTCACTTATGTTCTAATTGTCCTGGTTTTCATGTTTTAATGATGAGTTGTAATTACATGACTTCAAACTATTGTGATTTCATGGATTTAGATCCTATTTTGGTGCCTCACTTTGGGATTAGGGTTTAATGAAAAGCAAACAACAAATTTTATAAATAAAAAGGCACGCATAAATTTGTCCTGACATACAGAATTTTGTATTCCCCTAATGCATGCATAGTTATACTTTTGCTTTTTTAAAAATAGAATCAGAGAACTAAATCACAAAAGTTGAGGAATTGCAGAAGGGGAAAAAAAGATAATTATATTCTGGTACTCCTATTAGTTTAGCAAGTGAACAAATAAAAATCCTAACCCTTTCTCTGGATCTTTTAAAAGAATAGAATTAATTATGATCACATTCTTTCTTTCTCTCTCTCTTTTCTCTAGCAGATTATCTCAAAGGATTTGGTTTTGAGTTAACACATCATTCTTCCTTCAACAAATCACACCCTTTAAGGACTATTTTGCTGTAACTGGATTCATCCAAAGGTACTTGTCCACAGAGTTGAAACCAACAAGTAGGTAAGGTTTACTCTGTAGGCATTTTGGGGGATGGAGGGGTGGAGGAGACATTACTTGTTTGTAAAGCATTTCATCTGAGATAAAGAAGATTGCTTGCAAGAAAATGTTTCCAAGATGAGCCTTAAAAAGCCTTAAAAAGTTGTGTGAGATCTTAGATGAGCAGGAAGATAAGGCATGTTTCTGTTCATAGGTATGGTTAATACACACACATACACACACACAAACACTTCTTCATTTATTCATTATTAAATGAATAACAGTAAACACTTGACTCTGATAATTGGATAGAATTGCATTGCATTGGCATCCTTTAGTCTCAAGAGACTATGGTATCGTGCTCTGGAAAGAGGTCCTAAAACAGCATCTAGCGTGACTAAAAAGGCCGATTCGAGAGTGGCAATCCCTTCCACACTGAGGGCAAATACATTCTGTCCCCTGCCTAGCCCACAGATTTCGCTGGTTCTGGGACTTCCTCTTTGCCTCAGCCTGCCGAATAGAATATACATACTCAGCCTGGATAGAATATACATTTTATAAATGAATGAATGAATTAAATATGTTGAGTGGTCATGATTTGCAAATGACCAATGCATACTCGCTACATGCCAGTTCAACTAAGACAATTCTACCCCAGCAATGATTTTCACAGTGTAACAAAGCATGTTTTAAAATTGTTATCTCTCCTTCCCACCCCGAGATACCTACTTGGACTTTAAGTGTTTGCTATTTAATTTTATATGGAGTTGGTGTCAGAAGCTGCTTTATTGCTGTAGATGGGATGCATTTAATTAATCAGGGAAAGGAAAGTTGTAGAGCTATGATAAATGAAGAATAAGATCTACTCTACTACTAAAGGAAGAATAAAATCTACTCTACTACCTAATAGGTGAAAAAAAAATTACCATCTTATATTTGTTTATTATCCAAAGATGCAGAATCATAATCGTATAGATTTACCCAGCTGGAAATGGCTAATTTGGTGGATATTTAATGTATAAATCCAATATGAAATAATAACCTTACAGTTTCTAGATCATTGGTGTTTTTTTTTTTTTTTTTTTACTTTCAAGCTGCTCTTACTTTAGGAAGTTGTTTTTAGCATTCAGTTAAAATCTGCTTTCCTGTTACACTAAAACCGTGATGGTGAACCTATGGCACATATGCCCAAAGTTGTTGTGGCTCCGTTACCTGAGCCTGTGTCATCGGCAGGAGAGGACTCCGAGAGTGAAGGAGAGGAGTTGGCAAGGTCTCCCTCTCCAGGACTCTCCTCTCTGGCAATGCCTTCGGTGTCAGCCGAAGGTCAAGAGATAGGCCCGGGGCCAAGCACATCCACGCAGCCACAGGTGGACAGTAATGAGGGAGATGAGTCTTGGCTGGATCCTCGGCAGCGTCGCAGAGATAAGCGCGTGCAACAGAAGAAGAGGCGTGCCAGAGATTAAGCTGAGTCACTGGACCACACCCCACAGGGTATAAAAGGGGGTGAGGTGGCCATTCAGACTCTGTGACAGACAAAACTAACTACTATCGAGTCACATTGCATCTTTGGAAACAACATTATCTGCCTTGGATTTAATTACGGACTGGACTTGACAATTCTTGAACTGTGTGTATTTTGTTTATGAGTAAAGTCTTGGCAAGCAGCTACTGGGTTGCTGCCAATCCTCTTATCGAAAGAATTGGTTGTCTGCCAGTTTATTTAACCCCCGGCTGTCTGTTTGTGTGTGTGTGTGAGACAGGGACAGAACAAAAGTGGCACACAAAGCCATGTCGCCTGGCACGCGCGGCCGTACCTGTTTGTCTTCTGGGTTTCTGGCATCCATGCGTGCACGATGATCATCTGTCCTTCACGCGCGTGGCAGTGCCGAAAACCGGCCTGTGTATGCATGCTGACCAGCTGATCGTTGGACTGTTCCGGAGCATGATCCCTTCATGCGCGCAGCAGTGCTGAAAACCGACCTGTGCATGTGCGCCAGCCAGCTGATCATCGGATGTGCATGCGCACTAGAACCCAGAAGTTTGGCTTTTCCAGAGCACGGCCCCAACAAGCGTGTGTGCGCGCGACATTTCCGCGCAACTTTTTTGGCACTCGGTGCCGAAAAGGTTCGCCATCACTGCTCTAAACTATTATATGGTATTCTGTGTAATGGCATGCCAGGAAAAAAGTTATGGCATTCATTGCGACAACTTTTCCATTATTTGAAAAACTTGCTCGGTCATCATTTCTCAGGATGAAACATCATCATTTTAACCTTGAGTTTTGACAATTGGACTTCTTTATAATGTTAGGAGTACTCTTAGTAACGGTTTATTCTAGTTCAATTGAGTTTTAGGTTTCTATCTGCATCAAAGGAAGTCCAAAGATTTTCTGTAACCTTCCCCACCTCCTTTTTTTTGTTTGCCCTCCTGAATTTTGCTTTTTACCTACCCCTCCCTTTTTCCTTTTATTTTTTTTTTATTATTATTATTATTATTATTTTGCATTTTATACTTTTGGAAATTTAATAACTTTCTTTGTGGGAAAATCATTTTCTTCAAACTATCTTTGAGATAGGGCAAAACCCTCGTTGCTCCTTGTTTTTCTGAGTATCTGTTCCAATTCGTTCAACTCTTTCTTAAAGTATGCCACAGACGTGCAGATAATTATTATAATGCTTCCAGTGATTTGGAAACTGATTTTCTCTTGATGAATTCTGAAACTGCATTTTCCTTTGTCTTTTCTACAACCGTGTCACACCAGTTATTTAAAATGGTATAACTGGTTCCGTCTACCTGTCACTACCTTAGGTTTCGCCTCCCCCTACCTTTTAAAATGTGATATATTCGTAAGACTGACTGGAAAGAAGAATTGTTTTCTGAAACAGCAAAACAGGAAGGAGCATTTTTTCTGCGTTCAAGAAATATTAGAAATGTGTTTCTTGCATCCCAAATATTTTCTCTCTGAATGTTTCGACATGAATCATATTGTCTGATGATAAGTTCTAATAGAAAGGTGAATGGACAAATCCCATCTCTTTATTTCAAAGTTTTAATTTCCTACAAATTGTTGTAAGCTGGAAAACCTCTAGCTCTCTCAACTCCTACTGTGTTTTCCCGAAAGTAAGACACTGTCTTATATTTTTTTGAATCCCGAAATAAGCATTTGGCCTTATTTTTGGGGAGGTCTTATTATTTTGGAGCGCGTGGAAGAAACCAGAGGAAATGGCAGGGACCAGCTGCACATGCGTTTAAATATTTTTGGGGAGGGCTTATTTTCAGGGGCAGTTTATTTTAGCACATGCGCTCAAAAGCCTGATTGGGTTTATTATCAGGGAATGTCTTATTTTCAGGGAAACAGGGTAGTCAGCAGTGGGATTCAGATTATGTTACTATCAGTTTGTCATGCACACTCTCTTCATGTGTGTGCAAGCATGGTTCACACGCGCACTGCCTTCCGTGCATGCACCCGGCCTTCCACACATGTGCTTTGCTTGTGCGTACACCTTCCACCCATGCTCCCGGCCTAAAAAACATGCCTAAATATGGTGGCATAGACCTAGGGCAGGTGGGTGGACCCACCCGCGATTTCCGCTACCAGTTCGGGTGAACCGGTCTGAACCAGCTGAATGCCATCTCTACTCCTAGTACTCCTTATTTGCTGACAAGACATCTGGAAGAGAATAAGTTTGTAATATAGCAAATATCTGTAGCTTGGTTGTAAGACGATAGTGAAGGTTCTTTCTCCAGCTTGTGGGCTGGTTTCCAAATGTTTCATTACAAGGCTAGGTAACATCTTCAGCAAAGTTTAGAGGACCTAAACTCTAACCTCCACTGAAGATGTTACCTAGCCTAGTAACGAAATGTCCAGAAACCAACCCACAAGCTTGGAGAATGAACTTTCACCCTCAGAGAATAAGTTCTCCACCCATCCCTGCCTTATTCTATCAGAGGTGAACTGGTATACTCCTGATTTCACCAACAAAGTTTGTGCCCCTTGATTTAAGTATCTTCCCAATTATTTAATTATTGTGCTAAATCAGGGGTGTCAAACTCAATTTCACTGAGGGCCGCATCAGGGTTGTGTTTGACTTCAGGGGGCCAGGGTGGGTGTGGCCAACATGACATCACTTGTGCTGGGGAGGGGCACCTGTGGTGGCCCTAGCTCTCTGTCACCGAAAATGGGCTCCTGAGCTCCATTTTTGGCTGGGACGGCCTCCTGCAACCCTCTGCCAGCAAAAACAGAGCTTGGGGGGCATGCATGGCCCTCACAAGTTTCATTTTTGGCTAGGATGGCCTCCTGCAACTCTCTGTCAGCGAAAACAGAGCTCAGGAGGGCCACATGCACTCCTTGTGAGCTCCATTTTCGCTGCCAGAGGCACTGTAGGCTGCTCCTTTGCTATTTCCAAGGAGGCTCTAAGCACCCTGCGGGCCAGATCTGGACCCCGAGCCTTGAGTTTGACACCCCTGTGCTAAATGCAAATGTGCAAAGTGCTATGGGTATATCTGTCCATGAAGTTGACCTAGTTTGTAAATGAAAGCAATATTGGACGATTTCTGATGTAGATAAAGATTCCAATATGGGTCCCATTGAGCATTTGGCCTGCGATTCTCTTCGCAGGTACAGATAATTATATTGCCATCTGTCCACTTTAACGGCAGTCAGGTATAAAATGCAAATCAGATCAATAGGTGCATCCAGCTCTCGTGTTCTCCTCCCCAGAATGCAAAATATTATTGATATATTTTTTTAAAAGAATAGGATCTGTTCTGCGTTAGCAGAATGGTAATACCCAAGCTAAAGGGACGTGGTGGCTCGGTGGCTAAGACACTGAGCTTGTCGATCAGAAGGTCAGCAGTTCAGCAGTTCAGCAGTTCGAATCCCTAGTAATGGGGTGAGCTCCCATTACTTGTCCCAGCTTCCATCAACCTAGCAGTTCGAAAGCACGTAAAAAATGCAAGTAGAAAAATAGGGACCACCTTTGGTGGGACGGTAACTGTGTTCTGTGCGCCTTTGACATTTAGTC